TTTTTAAACGGTAACTGTAACGGAATACAGTTACTCATATTTTGTATTCTAAATACGTAACGGCGGTACATGTATTCCGTTACTCCCCAACACTGGATGTGAGTGACAATTTGAAGAAATAATGGATTTTGCATCTTCAATAACACTTCTGAAGAGCTTAACCTAAACCAGCCAGCTACTGTACTTTTGCACACTTAGCCAGTTCGGTTTCGCTGTAGCTTTGCACGTTACTGGAGCAAAAGTAGGCATTATTATAATGAATGTAGTGTGTTCACGACCCGGAATCTGCTAATTAGCAGAAGGCAAAGCTTTATAAAGGCATGGGCGATAGGAATGTTTATTTTTCAAGTTTTATCTGTTACTGGCACTAAATTAAGTATATTAGTATTCCACCTCTGCATATGACCTGTATGTTTGTTTGTGCACAAAATTAATGCAAAGCCATCTGATAGTTAGAAATTTAACAGAAAATAATTCCTAAAAAAATCTTTTAGGCTATGTCTGGGGAGCGAATAGTGACAAAACAGTAATTAGTTAAATCCTTTTTCCTAGTTCCTAACTTCTGTGTCTTTGTGTCACAGCCCTCGAATCCAAGCTGGTCAGCCAGTTCTGTGAAGATGAGAATGGAGCCCTAATATATAACAGAATAACTAATGGCTACAACGGCTATGGAAACAATGGTTATAATGGGAACAAAAATTTAATCAATGGAAAGTATGCTACTGGTGGCTATGGGTACAGGCCTGTGACCCAACCAGAAGTAGAGAATGGACGTCAGACTGGTATCAACACTGGTATCAGCACACACAGCCATGGAGGAATGATAGAGACCACCCAGCATGAGATTAAAGGATCCAACACAGTACATGTATGAAAACAAGAATACATCTTTATATATACTTTACACACATTTATTATTCTAACAACTGGTTTCTGTTTTTTTCCTCAATAGGAAGGAGGGGTGCAGCGTGGGGACACATTTACCCACAGCACCTCAGACAAACATCTCTCTCCATCCAGGGAACACTCTTCATCGTCATCATCATCTTCATCCACAAGCATAAGTACAACATCCTCCGGTGTTTCTGTACAGTATGTACCTGTACCAAGGCCAGTTCTTCCCAAAGGTATATGAAGTCCAATACTCTGCTCTACTTTTCTACCTTTCTTATGAGCAAAATTATTTTTATTACAGAGATCCAAAATAAATAAATTCCCTCACTGCAAAGACATACCATGAGCAAAAATTCAGTTAGGACCTCAATATTTAAAAGACAATACATATACTATGTGTATCTGCCCTCACATACATATGAACTCGATTGATGTCCCATTCATAAACAATAGGGTTTAATATGACATTCAATTCAGTTTTATTTATACAACGCCAAATCACAACAACAGTCGCCTCAAGGTAGACCCTACAATAATACATGCAGAGAAAAACCCAACAATCATATGATCCCCTATGAGCAAGTGGTTTGGCAACAGTGGGAAGGAAAAACTCCCTTTTAACAGGAAGAA